CATTATTAAATATATGTGCCCTAGTTCTTCTTTCTTCTATATGTTTGTTTTTAAGGACTTAGATTTCACATTAAAAATCTTAACTACATGACTGTATTCAAGTAGGAATAACTAGTCAAAGTATAAATATTAATTTCGAGAACATGAAATTTTATATAAATAATTAACATATAAGTCATTATACAAATAATTTTCTATTTGTGCATCCAGCTACGGACATCATAAACAGTTGATCTTTAGTTTTCACATATTTATACACTTTGTTGGTTTTTGGCCTTAGAAATATAATTTTATTACATATTGTTAAATGCTGAATACATCTAATTTTATAGATGAATTCTATTGGAATTTGACTATAGTTCCAGAGAGTAACCTTAGCTTCAGAAGACTGTACAATGAAAATGTGGAATGTTAAATGTATTAGGGTTTACAAAAAATTTATTTCAAATTTAAAAAGAGAGAATATTATGATGAATGTTACATTGTTTTTGTTGTTTCATCAGAAAAAAAAATGTATTGCACATATTTAAGGTGTAAAATATAACGCTTGATATACTTACACATAATGACATAGTAATTTTAGCCAACTAACATATCCATTCTCTTGCATAATTACCGTTTTGTATATGTGTGGAGTAAGAGCACCAAAAATCTATTTCTTAGGTAATTTCTAGTATGTAATACAATTTTGTAACTGTAGTCCTCATGTTGTACCTTAGATCTCTAGACTTATTCAACCTACATATCTGCCACTTTAATTTTACTTATTTATTTACTTATTTGAGATGGAGTTTCACTCTGTCACCCAGTCTAGAGTGCAGTGGCACAGTCTCAGCTCAATACAACCTCCACCTCCTGGGCACGGGTGATCTTCCTGCCTCTGCCTCCTGAGTAGCTGGGATTACAGGCACCTGCCACCACACCCAGCTAATTTTTTTGTATTTTTAGTAGAGACGGGGTTTTACCATGTTGGCCAGGCTGGTCTGGAACTCTTGACCTCAAGTGATCCGCCTGCCTTGGCCTCCCAAAGTGCTGGGATTGCAGGTGTGAGCCACAGCGCCCAGCTCATATCTGGCACTTTATACCTTTTGTTCTACATCTCCCATTTCTTCACATTTCCCCCTACCCCAATCCCTGAAATCACTGTTTTATTCTCTATGTATTTGCCTTTTTCTCTTTTTTAAAGATTTCACATACAGGGAGATCATGCAGTATTTTCTTTCTCTTTCTGGATTATTTCACCTAGCATAATGTCCTCCAGGTTCATTCATGTTGTTACAAATGGCAGAATTTTCTTCTTTCTTTACACTGAATA